TGAAGTTGTGCTGGACAGCTTTAGTTGTCAACTTTACACACCTGGGTAGAGGGAGTCTCAGTTGGGGAACTGCTTCCATTGGACTGGGCTGTGGCCATGTCAAAATCAATTTTCTTGATTTTTGAGTGATGTGAGCAGACCCAACCCACTTGGGCAGTGCCACCCCTGGGTAGGTTGTTCTGTATTGTATAAGGAAGCAGGCTGAGCTTGAGGCAGGGGAGTAAGCCAGTAAGCAGCATTCCTCTATGGCCTGTGCTTCAGCTTCTGCCTCCATGTTCCTGCCCTGAGCTCCTACTTTGGGCTCCCTGATCAACTGTGACCTAGGAGATGTGAGTCAAATAAACCCTTTCCTCCCCAAGCTAGTATTGGCAGTGCTTTGTCACAGTAATTGAAGGCAAACTAGAATAGAGGCTCTTATATCCCTTCCTATACATCAATTTAGTTCCCTTTCCCCCAAACAATGCCTTGTGTGGCAGATAGGTATTTGGTTTAACATAAACATCAAGTTCTTCAACAAAAACAAAAAAAGTTTTTTTCCTTTAGTTTCAATTTTTTTCTGAGACATTTTCAGCTTTTTAAACATCATGATCATTTTCTTCATTCATGTTAATAAATTCACCTTCCCTAATTTCCTGTGGCTATATATCTACACATCTTCAAATGATGTCAATATCAACATTATCAAAGTCTATTTCTTCTGTAACATTTTTCACCTTTTTCTCAAACTTCAAGTACTATTTTTAAATATTTATTATTTTTATTTTATGTGTATGAGTGTAATTCCTGCATGTATGTAAGTGCACCTGTGTCATGCAATCCCCAGAGAGATCAGACGAGGGCAGCTTCTGCCTTCTGAGTGCTGGGATTAAAGGCATGCACCACCATGCCCAGCTAAATAAAGATATTTTAAAAAATAAATTAAAAAGTAAAGAAAACAGAGTCAGGCAAAGTTGTCTGTGCCTTTAATCCTAGCACTCAGGAGGTTAAGGGCAGCTTGAGATATACTGCAAGACCCATCCTGCCTCAAAACAAAACAAAATGAGAAATAAGTTCCAAAAAGGGGCTGGAGAGATGGCTCAGTGGTTAAGAACACTGGTTGTTCTTCCAGAGGGCCTGGGTTCACCCACATAGCAGCTAGCAGCTAACAACTGTTCGTAACTCCAGTTCCAGGGGATCTGCCACCCTCTTCTGGCTTCTGTGGGCATTGCATGACATGGGTACACTTACATGCAGGCATTATATTCATACACACAAAAAATAATATTTTAAAGAATAAATCAAAAGGTTTTTTAAAGTTTCAAAAGAAAGGGCCAGGTGTGGCGGCCCTTAAAGGTGTGGGTCTCTTTAATCCCAGCACTTGGGAGGCAGGTGGATCTCTGTGAGTTAGAAGCCAGCCTGGTCTACATGAGTTCCAGGACAGCTGGGACTAATGGGAGACCCTGTCTCAAAAAGACAAAAAAAAAAAAAAAAAAAAAGTTTCAAAAGAAAAATATAATATCCTAAAAAACATTTTCATGAGATGAGATCAACAAATTAAACACTACAAAAAAGGTGAATGTGAAAAACAGCAATATACAGAATGAAACACAAAGAGAGAAAGACTTGAGGAAAAAAAAATTGAACAAAACCTCAGTGATGGGACTAGAGAGATAGCTCAGCAGCTATGAGCACTGGCAGCACTCAGGAGGCAGAAGCAGGTAGATCTCTGTAAGTTCAAGGCTAGGCTGGTCTATATATCGAGTTCCAGGCCAGCTGGGACTACAGGGAGACCCTATCTCAAAAAGACCAAAATTAAAAAAAATAATAATAACAACAATAATGAATCTTCAAAACAGAAAGTAAAGGAAAGCCAAGTGTGGTAGCGAATACTTTTAATCCAGCATTCGGGAGGCAGGGGCAGGCAAATTTCTGTGAAATGGAGGCTATTCTGGTCTACCCAGTGAGTTCCAGGCCAGCTGGGGCTGCAGGGAGACCTTGCCTCAAAAAACCAGCAAGATAAAGTAAATATAGTGGAAAGTGATAGAGGGAGGCTTCTAATGTTTATCTCTGGCCTCCACAACATGGATGTACATGTGAACATCACATACACACACACACACACACACACACACACACACACACAAAGAACTGCTGGGTTGGAGATGTAGCTCAATAGTAGAATTCTTGCCTTGTATGTGTGAGGCCCTGAGTTCAATTCCCAGTGCAACAATTAAAAAAAAAAAAAAATTGCCGGGCGTGGTAGCACACACCTTTAATCCCAGCACTTGGGAGGCAGAGGCAGGCGGATCTCTGTGAGTTCAAGGCTAGCCTGCTCCACATAGTAAGTTCCAGGGCAGCTGGGGCTACAGGGAGACCCTATCTCAAGACCAGAAAAAAAGAAAGAAAATTTGAAAATCACTGAGTTCTTAGATGGATACTATGGAGAATGCCTGTCCTCCCCAGCACTCTGAAAGCTGAAACAGGAGGATCCCCTGGGTCTAAGAGCTTGAGGACTTTTATAACTCAACCAAAAAGGTGCAAGTAACCCATTTTCAAAATGGACAAAGGACTTGAGGCAGCTCTCTAAAGAGGATATGCAAATGAATAGTAAGCAAATGAAGATTGTTAGGCCATTATTAGTCCTTAGGAAAATGAAAATCAGAACCATGAGGTTTACTTTACACCTCACTAGAATGTCAATTCTAAAAACACCAGTCGTTCTGATACATCAGTTGAGAAGCATGCCAAGATACGCAGATGCACTGGAGCTCTATCATTAAAGTACAAAACAATCCCAGGACAGAAAAGTAATAAAAAGGATGGGGGGGGGGGAATGTACTGGAACCCTTACAACTTGCTGGCGGAAATATAAAATAGTTCGGAAATTGTGGAAAGCAGGTTTACAATTCTCAAAAAGTTAAACACATGGGGCTGGAGAGAAGGTTCAGCAGTTAAGAGCACTGGCTGGTCTTATAGAGGACTTCAGTTGGGTTGCCAGCAGCCACATGGCAGCCAGCAACTCTCCTTAACTCCAGTTCCAGGGCATATGATACACTCTTTCGACCTCCATGGGCATTGCACATATGGGTACATTTACATACATGAAGGCAAAACACTCATAATTTTTTTTTTTTAAAGCTAACAATTATATGACCATCCTAGCAATTCTGCTCACAGGTATATAACACAAAGAATTTAAAACAGGCAATCAAATGCATGTATACATATGCACGTTGCAGCTTTTGACTAATTTGAGTAATGCAGCTAACAGCCTAAATATTTACCAATGAATGAATGAATGGATAAATAGTATGTTAAATATTGTCTAGCCATAAAATGCAGTACAGATACATGCTACAACATATACGAATCAAACTTATTAAGTAAAAGACACTAGACACAACAGGTAACACATACTTCCATTTGTACAACATATCCAGAATAGGAAAACCCACATAAACAGAATGTAGACTGGCAATTGGTAAGGAGGGAACAGAGAGAAATTGCTTAACAGATTAAGAAATTTTATATTGAATAATGAAATTAGATAGGTCATGGTTGCATGGCATAATTTTGTTACATTAAAAAAAAAAAAAGAACACTGCCTGTTCTTACAGAGGACCAGGGTTGGAATCCCAGCACCCACATGGCAGCTAATAACTGTCCCCGTAACTCCAAGGGAATCCAACAGCCTCTTCTGTCCTTCGCGGGCACTGCACGACATGGGTGCACTTACATGCAGGCATAACACTCATACACATAAAATAAAAACAACAAATATTAAAAAAAAATTGAAAATGCATATTATAGGGCACAGAGGACATCTATGGTCTAAGCGCTCAGGAAGCTGAAGCAGGAGGATAGTAATTTCAAAGCTAGCTTGGATTACATGGCAAGAGCATGTCAAACAAACGAAAAAAGGAACTTTACCTCTGAAGGGACGATTAAAACAAAATATCTACTATGCCAATAGAAAAGATAAAACAGAATACCAAAAAATAACCATCCAAAAACAGATGGGACAAATAGAAACAAATAGCAAAATGGATGATTTAAACTTAACCATGTTTGCATCTACACTAGATGCGTATGGTCTAGACCTTACACTGCCCAATGCAATAAACACTAGTCACTTGAAGCTACTGAGCACATGAATAATGGTCAAGACAAATGTGATGTTCTATAGTTGTTTAAATACCCTGGTTTCTTCTAAAAAAGTAAAACATGCCACCTTTATTCCCAGCACTCAGGAAACAGAGGCAGGCAGATATCTGTGAAATGGAGGACAGCCTGGTCTATATAGCAGGTTCCAGGCTAGCTGGGGCTACAGGGAGACCTTGTCTAAAAACCAAACAAACAAACAAACAAAAAAAACAAATAAACAGAAAAGAAATAAAACACATCAATAACTTTATGCTCATTTCATGTTGAAACAATAAAGTAAACTGAGTAAAGATACACAAATGTGAATACTATTTTTTTTAACATTTTTGGTGCTGCTTCACAATTTAAAAGCATTTCAATCCCCCTAATAACAAAACTTCCAAATGATAAGAAGCAAAATAGATTGGGATATAGCTGAGTGGTACACTTGTCTATCATGTGAGGGGTAGCGATCACTGCACTGTGGGAGAGAGGGGTGGGAAAACACAAATCTGCAATCATGGTTGGTGATTTTTAATATATATCCCTCAGAAACACTATACCCAGCAAGGGCAGACTATATATTCTTAACAGAATATTACTGTAACAGACCTTAAGATGGAAAATGATTTAAGTTCAAAGGACTGAATTTGCAAAGTATATAGTTGAGCAGCATAAATGTCAATAAAGGGGTAACTACAGGGGTCCAGGTTCCATGCATGACACAGTAAGCACACTCTTCCTGTATCTCCCACTGAAATGCAGCTATCACAAATGGGCAGGACACTTGGAACAGTTATAGGAGGACTGTGAAAAGTAAATATTAGCAGTTGCATGGGGAAGACCTTAACATAGTACTGAACCAACAATAAATTTACCTTTTTATTATTCCTCCAATATCCACCAGCCGGAACTGCAGCCTGAAACCCAAAAGTGAGCATCAGTGTAGGTAAAGGGCTCCAGAAAAAAGCCTAATTCTAGTTCAAATAGTGTTGGGGGTATCCTAACAGAGAGAAGGATAAAAATCTCACATTTTTCTTTAAATTCTCCGTGTTGTTTCTAAGCAATCCCATGATAAATGTCACAGTTTGAACAGAGACCCCCAGGAACCCAAAATTCTGGATGAGATTGTTCTCTTTGAAGCAAAATCTCACTGCTTTCCACCCCACCCCCATCCTTTCATCATTTAGTGCCAGGTGCATTAACATTTGCAAGCTTAAACAAAGACCTGCCTTTTACATGTAGAACTGAAAAAGGAAGTTCTAAGAGACCAGATAATACTCAGGAGAGGGTGGAAAGGATACTCTGGAAAGCGATCCTATAAAGGATGACTGAACTCCAGGGTTCACTCACTAGGGGCACACGGAAGGATGTAACTCAAAGCAGAAAGCTATGGACTCTCAAACTGAAATAGAAGGTAAGACGACCAACCACATCCCAGATGGCCACTGAGTAGCACACACAGAACAAATCTCAACATCACTGCACACAGGCTTTCTTACTAGAAAGTTCACTAAACCTACAACTCCACAGAAAGCTCTTTGAACTTACAAGTTGAACCCAACTTGGGTTGAATACTTGATAAAACAAAAATACTTTTTTCTTTTTTGAGATAGCCTCTCAAGGTAGCCCACACTGCACCCAAGCTCATATTCCTCTTGCTTCAGTCTCCCCTAAGCACTGAGATTACAAGCATGCATCACTATGGCCATCTAAAAATGGAATCATTTCTTATGAAATTAGAACAAAACTCTGAGCCTTATAATATTAAAGTGCCATGACACAACCCAAATCTGCATACTAAAAAGGGGAAATTCTTCAACTTCTATGAACAAACACTAAATAGTAAATAGAGGTTGGAATAAACTTTAAAGACTTTGATATAGCTAGGATAAAAATGTTCCAATAACTAAAGGTAAACACTCTTGAAAGAAAAAGTACTAGCAAAGAAACAATAAGTGAATGGAAATGTAAGAATTCAAAAGTAAAACTTTAAAAACCATTGAGTACGCTCAATAGGAGCAGAATGGAAATTACAAACCAATAATGAATATACAGGAAAATTCTCAACAGAGCACTGGCAAATAAAATCCAGCAACATACAGAAAGGACTGTATACCATGCCCAAGGGGGATTTATTCTAGGAATGGAAAAGTTGCTGTCTTGGGATCTAAAGATATTTTCATACCTGGCTATGGTCCTTGTGGGGCCTGACTGTACACCTTCCCTTTTAGTTCAATGATCTCTGTACCCTTAAAAACAGCTGCCTATTCTTAAGGGGGCGGGGGGGAATAAGACAACCTGCCACTTGAAACCAGAAGCAATTGATAAAGACACATAATTACGAAGAGTTTAAAATTGAGCAGAAAAAAAAGAAATTTAAAGTTTAGTCACCACATCTTAACATTTATATTCTACTGGACAAAGTCAGGTATTGGTGGCAACTCTAGGACTCAAGAAGTAGAAGGATCACTGTAAATTCAGTCAGTATAGGCTTGAAAAAAAAAAAAAGAAAAAAGAAAAAACATTGGACAAATTAAAATTAAAATGTAAACTATTACTAGTTTGATATTGATATCATCATGTTAGACCATACAAACTCATGCTGTTCTGAAGCCTAGCCCACTGTTGTACACAAATCACAAATACATAAGAAATCCCTGGCAAGATGGACTTTTGTACAAATGAGAGGGAAGAAAACTGGTTTTAGATAGTCTCATGTATCCCAGCCTGGCCTGGAACTTGCTACGTAGCTGAGGATCTTGAACTCCTTATCTTCCTGCCTCTACCTCCCCAGTTTGGGGGAATCTTACAGTAAAATTAGCCAACTGCCAGATATAACTTATATTAATGCAAGTGAAAGAAAAATAAAACACAAGTATTTGACACTTAAGAAAAACGGAATGCTGATGCTGGAAAAATTCTGTTTTCTTATACTCTCGGGTTCTTATCTCGTGCCAGGCTTTTAAGATCTTTTCTTTTTCTGTACTAAAGCAGAATAGTGAAAATGTTTTTATAGAAAGTTGAAAAAAAAATCTATGTATTAATTTGCTTTGGGTCATTCTAGTCTCTCTGGAAAATTCATAATTAGGAAGGCCTTTCAAAGACTGTTCTAATCTCGCAGGTACACAACCACTCCATATCTGGTAAATTTAAATTCATATGTGAGGTTATGTTTTTAAAGCATATTATTTACACAATTCACTGGAATGGCTCCTTTGAAAGTTGGTGGCTCTCTTATGCAATTATGTACTTAGTAACCCTGCTCTACACAGCAGTAGAAATTCAAGTAAGAATAATTTACTGTTTATGCATAGTTATTAGAATTTTAAAGCATTTGTTTGTTCAAATTTCTAGTTTATCAGAATGTTGTATTTGACTAATTGTATACTTAATAATAATGAAAAAAAATTTATTTTAGAAGGCAGCCAAGTTTAAATTTTAACAGTTCCAAATAAGCATCAGGAGCTGCTCTTCCCCCACCTCCTTGTTTAAGAGGATTTCCATCCCTTCCCACCCATCTAAGTTTTGTTGTGAAATTAACAATTCTTGTTTTAAACATCTATTGGAATATTGGAGATGGACTTAAATTACAACTACAGAACTTTACTTCTGTAAGGTGCTGTTAGAAACATTAAGTCTGTTTAACACTGAAGAAGCTGAGGTACACAGAAATTAAGACTGTCAAATTTGAAAGAATAAAAACTACTTTTTAAAGTATTTTATTATTTTTCTTTTTTGTGTATGAGTGTATTGTCTGCATGTATGTAAGTGCACCTGTGTTGTGCAATGCTTGAGGAGGCCAAAAGAGGGCAGCAGATCCCCTGGAACTGGAGTTATAGACAGGTGTTAGTCACCATGCAGGTGTTGGGAATTGAACCAGAGTCCTCTGCAAGAGCAGCCAGTGCTCTTAACCACTGAACCATCTCTCCAGTCCCCAAAATTAGTTTTTAATATAAAATATTAAGCATTGCTGGGCTTGGTGGTATACGCCTTTAATCCCAGCACTGGGGAGGTAGAGGTAGGCGATATCTGTGAGTTCAAGGCCTGCTGGTCTACATAGTGAGTTCCAGGCCAGCTGGGGCTACAGGGAGACCCTATCTCAAAAAGATTAAAAAAAAAAAATTAAACATTAGCAGGCAACAGGACTCACAGCAATGCCTAGAGACCATATGTTTTCTATACCAAAAAAGTCATTTTGGGGCTGGGGATATAGAACAGTTGGAGAGTGCTTGCCTAGCATGCACAAAACACAAATTTGATTCCCAATACCTCATAAACTGTATGCGGTAGTACACACCCCAAATCTCAAAACTGGGGGAGGCAGAGGCAAGAGGATCAGGAGTTCAAGGTCCTCTTCAGTTACATAGTGAGTTCAAAGCTAGTCTAGGATACATGAGATTACCCCCAAAAAGTCTTTTTGCCAGGTATGGTGGCTCATGCCTTTAGTCTCAGGACTTAGAAGGCAGAGGTAGATAAGATTTCTGTAAGCTCGAAGTCAGTTAGGCATACATAGTGAGACCCTGTCTAAAAAAAAAGTCATCTTTAATATTCATGTACAGGAAAGCAATCAACTTGGTGAGCAAATTTTTACATAAACGCAAGCAGTATCTTCCTATAAGAGAACAAAAAGTCCATTCACTTTTAGTTTCTTTGCCACATTATTTAAAAATCATCTGATATGCGTTCCTCAGGGGTTTTAAAGGCCCAGCTAGCCTGGAACTTACTATGTAAACCAGGGTGGCCTCAATCTCACAGAGGTCCACCTGCCTCTGCCTCCCAGAATGCTGGAATTAAATGTGTCTGCCATCACGACAGGCTGAATTCCTCTATTTTTAAAGTGCTCATTTTCTTGGTTACAGGCTACCTGCAATTATCTCGGATTATGTTTTACAAATTCAATGGCCTGTACCTGTACTAAAAGACCTTTTGAATCATACCACAAAAAATTCTATTTGGCCACATTGGAATTTCACTGTATTAAATTCAAATTAAAAAAAAAAATCAAGTCAAATCCCATTGCAATAAGCTGTAAAGGACTGTCCAAATTCTTTTATTGCCTTAGAATTTATTGCATTAAATATTATTAGAAATAACTAAGCCACCAGCTGAGGCCTGGGAATCATGAGGTTACACAACAGTTTTTGGTGATGTAGAGTTGGCCTATACACAAGTTTCAAATGATAACAGTGCTCATTGGGAGGTTAGGCTTTATATACTTCTGAGATGGAAGACAAGGAGGGAATGAGGAGCAAAGAAAACAGAAAAGGCTAGGTTGTGACTATAGAAATAAAAAGAAGTAGAAGCAATCTTCCCCTGTGGCAAAAAGGCTTTTGCAACACTTTTTCCCACTGATAGATTTACATGTCTTCACAGACAGTTGCCATTACTCAATAAAGGCTGGAAATTAACACACATGTGAAGGCCAGGCAGGCTGCCATATCAGACTCTTGTCTGTCACTACCAAAACAAACAAAAGAAACCACAGAGTAAGACCCTTTCCTAGGAAGAAATGTCAAACCCTCACACACTTAGGAACCCCCTCCTCTTCAAATGTGCTAGCTCTGAGGAGAAGTTCAAAAGGAGCTGTCAGGAGTTTTCTTCTTGAAAAAAAGTCTACCCATGAAAGAATCCCCTGATATCAAACAGTGTTTCAATGATTGCAAACCAAGTCTCCCAACTCTCCAGAACTCCTTAACTTTTGTGTAGAAACAGAGAAAAGAAAATTACCTGCTCATTAGAAAGAAAATAAGTGACTACATAAATAAATACAACCACATCTGATTTCCTGGGTACCAGAGACCACAGAGAAAAGAAACTCATTTTCAGCAGTGTGTTTCCTTCACTATTTGCAAATAGCTGGCTGATTGGCAGCTACAATATATGAAATAAATAACCATTTCAAAGACCAAGTGTCATG